TCATACTTTGTGTTTATAGTAGAATCCTTACCCAACTCCACAAAAAATATGTTATCTGGAAGGCATTCTGCACAGTATATTAAACTGATTAGCACAATCATTTTCATAAAAAGGAAATTCAAGAAATAGATGGCATACGAATATGATTTCAGACAACAAAGAATAAAAAGATAACTTTACAATTGCAAAAAAAAAAATCTCTTTTCATTTCTATATTTCTTATTCACGGAATGGTGTGTGCTTCCTGCCTTCCTCTACCAAGATTCATTCTGGACCATGACTACACAATAAGATCCTTCAACTATGATCCATAGAAACTTCCAAGTGTCAGACATGAACGCACTCAGGAGCTCGTGTAACACGTTTACGATACCATAAAAATGTGTCCAAAAATTACGTATAAAGGAAAAATAATGGACTTGGATATCCAACACTTCGTATGCAGCATGTACCACAACACCCCTCAAGCATATGTTTAAGACGGACTACATGGTGAAAAAGTTACATGCTCCATTTGATTGCAAACTTGGTTATTAAATAGCTAATACTATCATCTGTTTTTGTTTTGGCTTATTAGTTCCATTCTTATGTGTACAATTATGCATTGGAACCAAGAACAGGACTTCCCTCCCTTCAACTCCACCTCAAAAAAAAAAAACACACAAGAACAGGACTTCGTTTGACCGACAAAAGGTATGGACTGATAGGCCTCCTTCAATAGATTGACTTCCATAGTTGAGTGATTTGATTCCTAATGATAAATATATATAGACACTTCACTTGATATTTACTGCTTTTTATTGTTAAGATCTAAGTATTATTTCCTTAGTTCCAGTCCTTAAGTTTTCCATGGTTCATTTTGATCAAATATATATTTATTTGCATGCTTTTAATTGAAATATCCTAGCAGGATCGTATACCTTTTATTTTTGTAATTTACATCTACAACATTCCCATCATAACCTTTTGGACTAGGGAAAAGTACAAAATTAGTTACTCAATTTCTATCTTTACTTTTAGCAACAACACAAAGTTCTTTGGTTGTGCTTACAAGTATGTCGAACACTAATAAGTAAATTTTCAAAATATTGGTTTCTGATTTTTCCATTTCAAATTCTGTTAAAGTCATTTTCGCACAGGCTTACACCTGTATTAATTTTCATTATTAATTAACCAAATAATCTATTGAAGAACTTAATAAAGATGGAAATACAGGACAGATAACTTATCATTGATTCCAGTAATATTATTATGTCTCATAGATTTTAGTTAAGGAACAGTATGAAAGTTCCGCCTTCAGCCTTGGTGACAGGATACTATGCTTGGCTAATAGCTTTAGGGTCTATTCTGTTCAAAAAGAATATATAATACCTGAAACAGCGCAAAGTGTATAAGCTGAAGTACTAACTGGGGCCGACCAAACCAAAAATATTCGTCCGAGCCTTGCACAAGTGGAATGCCTCGGACCACTGCATGTCTTTCTGTAATCTCAAGGGCCATCTTTGTCAAAATGGCTTGTAGCTTTGTGCCGACAGCTAAGATTATCTGAGAAACATTATACAATTAGGATTTCTTTATTATCTACTTGAAATTGAGGACTTCTTCATGACCAACGAGGACACTTACAATTACAGGAATTAAGGATGCCCAAAACAATGCCTGCCACCCTGACAGAGACAACAGTTTAAGAGTCAGTTTCAGAAACAATGTAATATTTAGATCAACGACCATATTACCTAATCAGAGAAGGAAAATGATGGAACATATTTTACAATGAAATATTGACTAACCCTTAACATTCAGGAGCAAGAATACCACAAATGACCCCCACAATACTGGACTGCAACATACAAAAAAAAAGAACAAAAAGGAAAAGTCATAAAGATACTGTCAATTTGTCAGAATAATATCTAAGAAAACTACGAATTCAATTAAAGATGTTTACCTGACTCCCACGACCTTTTTATAGTCATCCTCTAGTGACCTTTTGATATACTTTCGGAAGTTAAATTTGCTTCCCGCTCCTAAATGGACCTAAACAACCGTAAACTATAAACTCTTAAGGGAAACAGGTTAGGTTTATAGTTTACGTAACCAGATAAACTACGAAGGACGTGCAAGTAGAAAATCTCACAGAGATAAAGCCATGGCGAAGGGTCATGTAGTCAGATTTGCTAACAGACCTAAAAAATTGACGGAAAAAGCATCCCTGCATGGAAGAATTTTGATTAGCAGAAACTCGTTTACATGAAATATTAAATTTGAAAATGTCAACAACTAAATGAAGGCCACAGGCACTTTACATGGAAAAATCATAAAGAAGAATGACAAGGGTAGTATATCTTACAATATAGAAGAATAACGGATTCCTGGTCCAGAAAGAAGTGTGTGCTCTCACAAAAGATGTCTCGTGAGATAGCCTGAATCTTGAAGGATCTGCCAGTTCCACAATTAAATTGCCAATTCAATGAGAATCACTTTGCAAGTAGCAAGGAAATGAAGATTAGATGTCATCTAGATAACAAAGTATCATGTATAATTATATAACAGCTTGCACTGATATACCATTTGAAAACTCATAGTCGTGGGATGAAGTCTCCTCTTCCCATTGCTTCCAGCCACGAATCTGTGTGACATAGTTTTAGCAAATGATTATATTACAGTGTAAAATCATGACTTCTCTAGAAGAGATTCTGAACCTTATTCAACAAGCATCAGATCAGAGACGAATTTGTGCCTTGGTATCCAGTTTTGTTATCATAAAATTAGGATATAATTTAGGTCTAATGGTAAACCTTGAATCTGAAGGTTAGGTCTCCTCTCCAGACTCCAATCCTAAAAAGACATGATGCAACAAAGAGTATATCTTCTTTCAGAGAATGTACCCAATCAGACTAGATGACTATCTTAAATATGCATGACTTATAGTCTTATATATTGCAGGTGACGAAACATTCATCAATTACTAGATTTTTATTTCTGTAATTGGCATTTCAGAATGACATCTTACACAACTTTTGAGTTCCGAGAATACAAGAGATAAGAGGATTTTGATTGTGGAGTTTCATTCAACGATGTGCGAATGTGACTCATTAGACAAACTACTGGGTTTCTGAAGGAGATAGAGAAGAAGACTTGGTCGTGTCCAATTAAGGGACAGAGTATATGTAGATTTTTTCAATCAAAGATCTAAATGGAGATTCTCTACTAACTTCGGCAAAAAAAGTTCCTCTGAGCTTTAGTTGGAAGATTGACCGACTTTGGAGTCCAAGGCTAATGTTACAAAGTCTTGTACAATTGCTCAAATTTGCAGGTTTGATAACGCATTTTGGGACACCAGTATGGCGTCTGGATCCTTAATTAAAATAGATAGTTATCAAATATGAATCTTCGACTTATAACTTGTTCAAAACCTGCACTGGATCTATGCAGAGAGTCAGAGACTAAGAAAAGCTATTTCAAAAAATAAGATGGTTAAATTGATCTTTGGGAAAATTGTTTTCTACTTTATCACAGTATAGTGTTATTCTGTAAATAGCATTGACAATCAGATATATAAGCACATATTTGATAACTGCATTTTAAATTACCTTCAGTCTTCCGAGCGCCATAGTAATAGCACTGTAAATTACATGGAAAACTGCTAGAAAGAATATAAGAATGTGTATCTGATGCAGTCCATCAACTGATATAAGCGATACGCGGCCCTGCAAGAAATGATCAAAAAGTAAATGATTAGGGAGATTAAGCCAAATGTAAAAAAAAAAAAAAAATATATATATATATATATATATATAGGAGCAATGCATAGTGTTGTCTTAAACTTGTTGGCGGTCAAACTTGTCAATGAATCATTTTAAATAATCATATTTCCTGTATCTCAAATTTCATGGAAATTATTTAATTTGATATTGATATTCACTTGGTCCCAATATTATGGCCAGTTTTGAGGCAATCACTACATGATTTCCTCAGTAAGACAAGGCTTCCCAACATTAGCATTCAACAATGGATTATGCTGGTTTAGTCGGCTAGCTTGACTCTATTTTTATCATATTCTTTTTTTTTTTTTTTGGGAGTTTTTATCAAAATAATTTACAGGAAACAATTTCATTTAATTAACAGAACTACATTCGACAAGCAAACCATGTTTACCTCCTTGCACTTGGGTTTTTTATCACCAGCCAAAACCCTTCGCTCATACCATAGAAGTCTACGACGACCACCATTTCCTTTACCTTTTGCGTCTTCTAAAGGACAAGGCAACATGGTATTTGCAACATGAGTAGGTATGCAGATATCAGCAATATAATATTGACTGAACACGAGGATTAGCGAGATGAAACCGAGTATCATCAACTCTGTCACGTTCCGAAACGAATAAATTAGACACCAAATGCAAATTTCTTGCTGGAAGAGGAGGGGAAAGAGGAGGAAAAGACAGAAATTATGACCCACCGGCTTTGATCTTCTCCAATGCCTCATACAGAGCTTTCTTATGCCTATCCGTTAACCACTGTTTAATAACATCAGCAATGTCATGTTAACACAAGGACCCAAAGGAAGCAGCAAACAGTAATGGATTTCTTTGATTCAGGCTAGCAATATGAACAAAAATATAATTGGAGCAAGAAAGGAAAAAAATAGCAGTCGATTAAACGTCGTTAAGTATATAATTTCGAAAGGTCAAACCATCGAACAAGAGATCATTTAAGAACTTAAGTATCATATAACAGTTATCATATGTGATGGCAACCCAAAGCCATCAATTTGAGCAAACAAACAGCTTCAACAAGGAAACAAAAGATTAAGGATAAGTCCATACATTCAATTGAAGAACATGAATAAAAAAGAAAACCGCAAACAAGAGTGGAATTCAAATATTTTCAAAAGAAAACAGAAACATTTAAATTGTCAAAAAGTAAATTCGTACCGTTCCAACTTTGTGGAGAATCTTTTCCAAGGCAATAGAGATAATTATGATGATTGCACACACAACAGACACTGCCCATGTCGCTGTCTGATCAATCCCCCTTGAAGCATCACCCGCCATATGATTTCGCACACAGTCACACACTCAATGGCAGAAACTCAGTTGAAGCACAGAAAAACAGATTCGTCGGCGGAGAACTTCAAATGAGGAAGAACAAAAAGTGGGCTTCTTACTCTTCTGATGAAATTTTATCCAGAAATGAAAATATCCTGTATGGAGAATATCCACGTCACATTATCTCACATTATCCACGTCACCTATTTTACTGCTTTTAGCTGATAATTAGTTACTTGGCTAATTAGTTTAATTAGTCAGTTATGTTTGTTAATTTCCGTTATTAGCACTCGTCACTTTCCCTATTAATACTGTACTTCCTTTTTCGTCTATTGTAGAGAATAAAAAATTGATTGGGTGTTTTCTCTTTCTAAGATTTCTCATGGTATCAGAGCAAGGGACGACCCAGGGCTTGGTGATCGTCTTCCTCGACCTACGAAGGAGTTGAAATTGGAACAAAATT